GACATGTGTTGTGAATTTGGCTCTATATAAATAAACTGAACTGAATTGAAATTAACAGAGATACTTTCAACTGTGTAACTGCACAACACTGGCTACAGGATTGGTCAACAACACAACAACTGCTCAGTTGTTTAAACATAGGCTTATAGGAGGAAACCTACCGTCATGTTCATTAGGACTTTGGCACTGGAGTGATTAAAGCGCACGGTCACTGTGCGAACTCCAGCATCCACCACCACCACGGAGCGGGGGAAGAGGAAGAAGGCAACAAGCGAAGAGGCCAGTAGACAGAGCACCACCGAAAGGACAACATACAGTTTCCTGCAACACACATAAATCTGATTAAATCCCACATATCAAACCAAGTACTGCTAATAAAAGGATTTTCCATTACTGAGGTGCGTTTCTACAAACAACAACAGTTGTGTGTGAAAACATGACATGTACAACTTTCCCATCCTTTAATTTATCATTTATATTTTTTTTCAATTGCAGAATATACTTATGCTTTAGTTAATGTAACCCATTGGTTAATAATTAGAGAAGCATCCATCTGATATTTTCTGATCCGTTCCAATAGCTTTTTTGAGCTTCTCAGCTGATGCCAATCAGCTACTGCTCTTAAATTAACCGAATATCTTAGCATGTGAATGAGGGAATCAAGTTTGACATAAATATTGTTAAAACTATTGTAACAGATTAACACTGATATAAATGTAACCCATCTTATTTAAAAACAAATGAAGTGTACATTGTACAGATTAGGGGTGGAACGGTTTGCAAAATCCACGGTTCGGTTCGGTTCACGGTTTCGTGGTCACGGTTTTCGGTTCGGTATATGTTGATTGTTGGCCTGACATGTTGGTCGTGTTGCTGTTAGCATACAAACAAAACGTTTTGCACAATGCTTGCACACTGTTGCACTTTTATCCACAACTTTCTTTCCGCCGTCATCGTAGGTCACTCTAAATGTAAAGTGGTCCCATAAAGCAGACCTATAAAGTGCTGCTGGCGCGTCTTCCATCTCCTGTTCTTTCCCACCTGCCATACCCACACAATTCTCCACAACAACTGATTTTTTACTGCTACACCCGGCTACACTGCTTCGCTTCTTCTTGTTTACCAGTGGTGGTTGGCTTTGGTCGCAGTACCACCACCTTCTGCTCTGGGGTGTAATCGCTTCGCCTATGAGAAAAAGGAGCAGCGCATGAACCGAACGCAACACACGCGAATCGAACCGAGACAGTCGAACCGAACGGTTCGTACGATTTTCATAAACCGTTCCATCCCTAGTACAGATAAAAGGAATAAATAATAATTCCTTTTAGAGTGCACTGCAAACTCATATTTTAAAATGAAATATTGAATATAGCAGGTGCCTTAAACTTGCAAAGATCACTGTAACTCTATTGTTGTGTATGATATTGATAAAAAAAAATAAAAGAAATTATTCGATTTCCGACTGAACCGATGAGTCAATATCGGTGCCTATATCCTATTCCAGTATTGGATCGGTACATCTCTATGATCAGTAAATATCACTAATAAAAAATTAGTAATATCACTTGTTTATACCTTCTTTTGAATTTTAGATATAGGAATAAGTAATAAAAGAATAATTGTTACCGATATTGGTCATTACTCCAAGATGTAACACCAGTATCATGTTGGAAAGGGAAAAGTTGTATGGGACAATTCGGTCAAAAGGGAAAACTGTCAAATGCAGAAGCGATCCAAAATGCCATATTTAATGAATGCAACATTGAATTCAGCATTCCTATCATATCAAAAGCCCAGAGGAAGCTGTTCACTCACGTCCTTTGCGGCTGCAGCCTTTGGTCGCTGTAGGGGATCAGCGCCACCAGCTCATTCACTTGTTCTAATGAGGGGAAACAATACAGGCAATGTCAGCAGTTATGGAAAGTAACATTTCTGTAGAAAAAGGAACAAAGTCAGGGTGTGTTCAAATAACTCCTGGCGAGTTTTTTTTGATTCCCCACTCACCTGAAGGTATCCTGCCGGTGCCCTGGCAGGTGGGGCAGGTTATGCTGTCTCTGCCGGTGAACTCTACGTATGGAAACTGGGCGATATCGTCTCGCCTGTCGAGCCCGTCCAGAGAGTCGTTATCGGACTCTGTGTGCTCTGTGAACCGGCCCTCTGTCCGTCTCTCTGGGTGAAGAGAAAAGCTGCTGCCGCTCCGAGAACACCGCAGCCCCATGGCGGCGGCCGCCGGAGCAGGGAGCGGTCCTCCCAAACTACAAGCTGTTTACAGACTGATGACAGTGGGCCATTTTGTCCCGGAAAGTTAGAACCGAGTCACAGGAGGAGCAGAGCAATTGGTGTGGAGAGACAAACTCCGTTTATCCAGGGCTCCGGTGTGTTCTAGGCTTGGTGTGAAGCACTCGAGTTAGTTTGTAAAAAAAAAAATGACCTGGAAGTTTTAAAACTTCGACCTCAGACATATACAGACACAACAAAGTGAGCATGCTGCGTCAGTGGTATTTTGGGTAGAGTGAATTACTTACGTAATGACGTCAGTTTTTTTTTTTTTTTTTTTTTACAATTTCATAGAGAAAAATGAGATAATAGGAAAAACACACATCAAGTATGCTTCTGGAATTTCCTTTCTTCATTCATGGAATATCGCAAAAATGCAAGTACATCCCGCTGCAGCCTGCGGGAAGGCGGGGCTTGACATCAAGCCCCGCGTAAATAGTCTGTAAATTTAAACAAAAATACGCCGCACAGTGCTGATGCATCATTAATGTGTTCAGCTTGAATCAGCATGTTTGAGTAGCAGGTCGACCGCCCCAATATGGCGGCCGTAATTCCTGCG